AATTACTGTTTTTTGTCTTCATATTCCATTTGGTGTTAGTTGTTATACCAATTTATTGGTATCAAAAGCTTATCGAAATGCAATGAAAAATGTCTTTTCATGGAACTGAATTTTTCTATTGTCACTGAGTATTTATCAAACAGTTTCGAAATTTTTCTATTATTTGAATATTGTATTGTCAAGTATCTTATTTTTACTCAATTATTTATTGCAAATAAAAATATCTGAATGTTTAACTTCGAACTTGACAGAAAAGTCGTAGATCGGCCAAATAAAGAAGCTAATGTCAAACGCATGTACAAACACGTGATAATCTTTTCTGGACATAAGATTTGAACCTAGTATATTTGGTTTTATAATAGCTTCCCTATATGCTGCCTTATCTTGCAATATTATTATCTGCAACAAGCTCCTTGATAGTACACCATCCATGTAATTTTTTTTTGACTCAGAGCGATGAACAAGCGATCCTGCGGGTGTGGGTGTGAGTGTGGTGGATGTGGATGTGAGTGTGGGTGGGGGGGGGGAGATGGAAGGGTGTTAGAAATGAGAATACTCACATTTACACCCACACCCCACACCCTCATTGCCGATCATTTTCTCTTAGTCATCCTCTCGAAAAAGATTTGAAAAGTAATTGCAACCATTCAAAACATTACATGTCATGTATTAAATGAAACATTTAGTGGTTCATGTTCCACCATCAGCCAGTAAAGACGAACTTGAAGTAGACCTATTAACTGCTAAAGTCGATATTCTTTCACGGATGTTTCATATAATTCGAGATGTACAGCAAGATAAAAGTAAAACATTTGTTATGTCTCAACTAGGTTCAAAAAGTGGTCTTCTGTTATCCGATTGGGCAATGAAAGTGTTACCACAAATGTATCGAGAGAAAATGGATAATTGGTTTGAAAAGAAAGGAATTTCTCTCCATGTTGATGTTCTTTTCTACATGGACAACAATCATGCTCGTACAAAAATGACACATTTCACAGCAATTGATCGATGTCTTCAAGACATGTCATCAGTTCTGCGTATTTGAACATGTAATTGAACAAATTAAACAAAATTTACCTGATTTAACCGCGTTATACACACGTAGCGGCAACGTTGATTGTTATGCTGGTACAGCAACTATTATATCTCGTCAAGTTATATGTGCTAGTGCCGACATTTGTTTGAAGAGAACTGATTTTAGTGAAACACAGCGAGGCAAGAATCAAGCCGATCACGATATTGCCGTGGCAAAATTCTGTCTGACAGTTTATACAAATCGTGGTGATAATTTGATAAATACAAAATCCATCAAAGAAGCATTTGATGAATCTGTTGGCAATTTATCTGGTTGTAAAACATCAGTTAATGCTATTGATGAGTTCAAATGTGTTTTACCAAAAATGAAAATAGAAGGTATAACAAGAGACCATTCAGTTGCATTTAATCGTAAGTCGATTACTTTATGGCAATATTTTGATATCGGTAATGGGAAGTCGAAGAATTTGACAGATTGTAAATGTACCTTACACACAACAGTAATACCACCGTTCTCAGATAGTCAAAAACCGAACAAAAAATTTCTAATAAAAAGTACTTTATCTTCAGCAATTCTTTTTCTGTTCCGTTGATTCATATTCAGCAACATTTGACAATGAGGAACAACTTATGGATCATGAACAAAAAGTCCAACACTTTTATACTGATGATTATTCCTTATCAATAATCGATCGTGCTCGATATATATATTATATATCGAACATTTAAAAGAAGCACGTCTTCTGGAAGAAGCATTCAACACAACAGTAATCGAATCTTTTCAAAATTCAAATATTGAAAATATTCAATTTAGTAACAACGATGATGAACTGAATCGACCATTCTCAACACAAGGTTATGTTATCCATCGAGACAAAAGTCAACGAAAATTCCACAAGAACATCAACAATTCTTTATAAAACTGTTTCACCAAGGTGAAACTACTGGCAAAAAAGTTACGGTTAAAGATGCATTTCAAGAAATGCGTCGTGTACAAAAGTCGGATAATACGAAACTCTTTACAACTAATCAATACTTGACTAAAAATCAAATTCGTAGCATTTTGGGTCATTTATCAAAAAAAGGATCAATTGATAGACGAAGTCAATTAATGCACAACAATGAAAAGGACCAAAAACAAGACTCCTATGAAGAACCAACAAGCAGCGATGAAGACGGTGGTGAAAATTATTTTAAAAAACAACAAGATGAAGAATTAGAAGATCTTGAACCTGATGAAATCGATCATGCGTTAAACTGCTATAGTGATAATGAATATAACACAAAGAAAATGAATCAAAGTTAAAATATTATTAATTTTTTTCCTGTACTATCATCTATTTTTTTTCTAAATACATGAACTATATTAAAAATATATGAAAACTCAAGAGCATAGCTTAATATCAACAGTTAGGTAGCGTCAGAAGTACTTAAAACACGTTCATTTGTAAAAATACTTGATTATAGATACATGAAATATTCTCATACTATCCATATAAAGGTGAAAAATTAACATTCATTCATTCATTTCTAAATAGATGATAATAAATTGATAAGTTAATATTTATTAGATTTTCTTGTTATTTATATCAATAAATAATCAAGAATAATACAAGCCACTAAAAGAATTACATTTTATTCAAATCTAAAGCGTTTACTATTTGATATTATCGGGTTTATCAACGAAAAAAACCCTCTAAATTGGATACATAACCTGACTGAGAGAAAGCAGTGACTTTTATCAAAAGTGCTTTGCTATTCTCATGAACAAAATTGTGAGATATCCTGGGTGGTAGATCTTGACGAGCTCTATCACCGGTAGAAATATTACAGCGATTGGTTGTTGGGGCATAAAATGTGACTGAGAGACATTCTGGCAAAAAAACATAGAAAAAGGGTAAGAAAAGCTTTCTTCTTGGTATTTCAGAAGTTCTTATAGGATTGACGAAAACTTCTGAAATTTTGTATGCAGAAGGGCAGTACCTCGCCAGTAATAGTTAGAAAAACGAAAAGTCAAAAGTCTCAAAATTTGAAATGAGAAAGTCACTTTTACTGAATAAAACCAACTGAAATTTAATTAAACGATAATAAAAAGTTTATACTAAAACTTTCGTTAGTATTTTGACTGTTCGTACAAGAAAAAGTTATCAGATCAAGTTGAAAATTTCAAGAAATACTAAACTCACTACCCTCTACGCCATATAAAAAGAATCAGCGAATACTGCGATATCACTCTATCGTCGATGTCCTAAAGTGACTGATTTTCTCAGAAACTTACTCGTAAGACTTTAAGACTGAAGACTCCGCTGTTTCTCCTTCGATTACCGTGTATTCGTCGGAGAACACTTGGTTAGAGGAAAAAAACAATATTTTCTTGTGTTCATTGTGTTCAGAAGAAATGATTGTTCTCTGCCACAATGTGACAGAAAAAATAAACAGAGAAGTAACTTTTCTACCCATCATATGAGGAGTAAAATAACATAAAATTCTAGAGAAAAAGATGAGGCTAGCGATAGTTTATGCTTTTTTTTTGGCAGCGATCAGAGCAGTTTCTCTTGATAGGTGCCTTCTTATGCTCAACAGCTGTCTGACTATGTCACATGTGAACGCTACCAAATTTATATCATTAGATGCAATTTTTGACGCTGCATTGAATGAACACCTTTCCAAACTTCTTAAATAATGAGAAAAAAAGAGAATAGCTAAATTGTTTGAAAGCTTGAGTGTTTCTTTCTATTAAAAAATGCGAGGTTTTTTAATATTTTATAAGTCATTTTTCTTAATTTCATCTAAACAAAATTGTGTAAAAAATATTTAATATATACAGTTCGGTAGAGCCCAACGAGCCATATCCAACAATGTAAACATATCAAAGAAAAAAGGTTAACTCAATTTTTGTATTAGAAGACAGCGCTGACTTTGAAGAAGAGTTGTTGTTCATGAATTACAAAGGACTGCTTGCAAATGAAAACAACTAACGTTCAACCTGCTCTGAATTGAAAAGTAGGTACTTATTTTGATTATCTTCGACAGTCAACGAAACAATGTCCAAAGTTGAAAATTTCACAGTGACATTTCGTCAATAATCTCGAGATCATAGTTGAACAAAGACTGACACTGAGTAATCAGCACTGAACGAATAGAACTCTTCTTTACTGGCATTGACCCGCATCTGTATATGGAATATCGCGCGCGTATGTCCTAGGATCAATCAGACAAGTTTCAAAATCTATAACGAATTATTCTCGGACAACTCATCGGATATATGTGACCATCACAAGCGTTCAATGCATGCCACTACATCTTCTAGTGGAATATATAAATCTCTATCTGAAGTTTAGTAATGTTTTCTAGATAGAAACATGACTAGTGTGCAACTGATGGTATATGATTCTATTAAAATTACAGTAATACAGTTTTGAGTAGAGAAAAGTAATTGCTTTTTGAAAAGCATAGAAATATTTGAAAATAATGCTTTTCTCACCAGAAATGAAAATAGAAACAATTCCCTGAGAGCACTTGAAACACAGCACGGAAGCAAGTAAGAGAATATTATTCAAGAAAAAGTCCTCGATTAAAATAATGAGAGAATGTAACAAACTGGAGGCGTAGGTCTGTCAGTACTCTCGATAATGATATTTATTAAACTATTTCATTAGTTCAATCGTATCTATATCAGTAGAAACACACGCTTATTTACTAGCCACACAACCGAAGCAGACAAACATATCGAGTTTTGACGTTTTTCGAACTAAAATAGTAAATTTCAGTCGATTTTTATGCGTTTTTTGAACAAACCAAAAAACGCATAAAAAGTCGTGTTATAGAAGATTTTTTCTACTTTTCCATTATTTTCTACTTTTTTGTGTGTTTTTTCTGTCCAATTTCAGCACATCTTGTGCAGAAATGTGGTTAAAAAGTTATTTCCATGAAAAAATGCTCATCGTACCTAAAAAGGTTGAACTTTTGCGCGTTTAGGGACTAAAAAGTTTTTATCCAAAATTTTTCATCGCTGATTAGATTGCGTTTTTCTTTAAAAAATTCACTTTGGTGAGCTATTTACTTTAACCAGCGACATGGAATTCTTTCTTTTGTTTTTCCTAATTCATTCCAATACGAAAAATATTCATCGCGATTTCACTGACGCTGTTTATCGCATACATTGTTTGTGATTCACATTATAATAAAGAGTAAGTAGAAGAAAGGCTCTGAATTCCAGAAGATGGAATCCATACTAGTTGTGATTTGAGAAGAAAAGATAAAGTCTGTTATAGATATATACCACCGTCCCCTTACATCAACATACAGATGGACACGATCACCGTAGAAAACATTGTAACATAATTAAAGAATTATCTACTTTTGGGCTTATTTGATCAAAATACAGAAAAGATATATTTAGACTTTCATTGAATTTAAAAATTACTTCTTATGAAAATGATTATACTTTGATCTGTTGAGTAACCCTTGATGAGTTATAAGCCAATCGATAAACATTTTATTTTTGAGATCGAAATGATTAGTATAGATGAGATCGACAAATATTATCAACGTATCTGCGCAACATTTCTGACAGTATTTGTAGTAACATTATAATTATTAATAGGAGCGACAGGACTTTGCATCATAAGAGCAGGACGCTGAGCTCCCATATTCTCCTATGTGGCGTCACCACTAATACCCGAAGAAGACGTCACCTTTTGAATGAAAAGAGAAACGCTTCTTTTTCTTATAGATAATCGATTTGTAATGATAGGAAATAGACAAATCTTTGATAGACGCATTTCTTTTTCTCGCCCAAGATCACTTCATAGGAAAAGAACAACGCATACTTCTTTTTTACGTGAGTTGATTTTTTTCCATTGAATATTCTAATTTAAGAGCAATATATACATTTTTTCTTTGTTATTTGTCTATTGATAGGTAAGAGTAGAGGGTCAATGGCTTTTTATAGTTTTTATGAGTCATATGAATTTTTTGTGCAGCTAGTTAGTTCGTGACAATAGAAGGTAGATGTCACTTGTTAAAAGTTTCGTTCTTTGTTAATATGAAATAGAAATTTATTGCTTAACAAAATTTTTCATTTCTGATAGTCAATTAATAGAAATAGAGAAAAAAGTACAGTTATTAAAATGCATGCAATGATTTTTTTCTTCTATCAAATACCTATTTCATCCATAGATATTATTATCCGTGAAATAACAAGTCTGTAGCGATAGACGAGAACACCCTCTTAATATTTTATATAAGAGCCAGTCCGTGTAAGCCACGACCGAATCACTGAGGAGCTGTTCAATCGAGGTCGTCAGATCTTGTTCATTTTCTGATATGTTGTAGAGGGAAGAGTTCTAAGAATATTGGTGAAAGAAT